GAAATTGGTCAGGTTTTATGTTATCGGAATGGCACATAAGCTGACAACCCCTTATTAGTAGTATCCATCGCCTATTTTCATGAACAGTACCATGTTCATTTATCTCATAGATTACAATGCGCGAGGACTAGGATGTTATGCCATTAACCGAAACACAATTTACAAAGCAAGCTGCTTTGTAACTTGTGTTCGGCTGAAATAGGTAGACAGAGGCATCCACGCAAACAACTTTTTACAAATCTAACCACACTACATACATTATAATTATTATCAAATTAAAACTTAATATATTAATAACAATGAGATGTCAGAGGTTAAAGAGCCAAATTGACTTATTCATAGAATGTTATAAGATGGCAACCCTGTAACATGGACTTTTCGCTCGTCAAGCAGCATTGTTGTTTTGCACGCTGACAACTGGACGCGCCGCGGCTTTTTGGTTCACGTCAAGAATTGCTCGCATTACCATTAGTCACAAATCAATGTTAAAAGATTTAACATTACATTACCCATTCATAACGTAGTGGTTTGAACACTAACTTTGTATACAGAAGTCCTAAATTGTTTTAATATACATAAAATATAGTTTATATTATATATTGTATTCTCCTCCTTAATGGAGGTAATAATCAAATTTAATATTACTAATATATTAATAGCGACGACTAAATAATCATCAATTATTATTTTTAATTACAAATTCCATATCTTCACTCTTTTGTTGTGAAAGTTAACCACTTAATATTATATATAGTAAAAAAGAAAGAAAAATGGGTCACAAACAATGACTAATAGTACGTTTACATTTAATAGTATTGTTAGAAATTCTATGTTTTAGTCTTTGTTTATTGTTAGTGCAAATTCCCTTCTGAAATCAGCTAATGATATAGACAGACAAATAAATCTATACGCTGCTAAGAAAACTATAAGTAAGTATAATAAATTCTGTATGAATACCAAAACTAATTTTGTTTACATAAAAAAAGAAGTTTATTTAATTAGAAGTAAAATATACATTAAAAGAACTGCCTCGTTCAGACCGCCTGTTAGGAAGCGATCCTTCTTATCGAGCTCCCTCACTACTTCCTACATATAATTAGCCAGGCAATAAGTCTTTCACTGAAATATTCAGTGAACTGTGCGGGACGTCGCCGCGTCGGAAGCGAATGAAGTTGTCAATGCCGATTAAAGACCCCTCACTATGAAGTCCATTGAGGGCGATGTAACTTTCATGTTTTGCCATGTTCTCTGTCTGGCAGTGGCACATAGAATTACACCTGAATGTATGGTATATTATTAATATCCAAAATAAAGAAAGATATAGATAAATATGTTAACGTTAATTTATAAATTATTATGCATAATAAATAGAGGGACGATCATTAAATATATAAAAAAAACATATATACGTCCTCATTAGGTTTAAGGGCTAAGTATTTTCAGAGTCCAGTAAAGTTGAATCACAAAAAGATTTCCATATTAAAATATTTGCTCATCTATCACATGTCGGATACTATAAAAAAAATAAATGGTAGTCTCTTAGAGAGGGTGCATCATTGATGGACTTTTAGACAAAGATTGGGGGAAGTGATCACTGCATAAATATTATTTCTCATTCACTTTTAGATAAACACCATATAACTGAGAGCATCAATATATACATAAATATCAATGGAGTGACAAAACAATTTACTGGACTATTATCATATTAAGGCATTAGTAAATTTATCCATCGGGTATATACAGAGTTAGGTAATAGTTATAAATCAATAATAATCGATTACAAGTCTTAATGTAAATCAAGAAAACGAATACTTCGTTGTGTAGGGTTATACCTAATAGTACCTAAGGTCAGATTTCCGGAAATAAAAATTATTCTTATTCGTAAAAGTTTTAAGTTACTACTTACGACTATGTTCATTTATAGGAATACTATAAAAAAACTTATTAAATTTTACTACAAATTATATACTATTGAATGTTCTGCCTTGTCATATTATTTTATTAAATGTTTAAACAACTAAAAAACATTAATAAAGGATTGATCTATTATGAACAATAAACGAAATTAAAGAAAAAAAGTATTGTAAGAAATACTGCCATAGAATTTATAATTATCCATTTCATATTAACCCTATCACAATCAGGTAGACGTGACAGGCGTCAGAAACACGGGTTCGATTCCTCATACATATTCAAATGTACCCACCTAGGTGCCTCAGGGACAGGCAGGGATGATTTGCAGAAGAGTTCTTTTTAACCATATTTTAAATATAGAAGAAAAAGTATTTCTTTATTATATTTCTGTGATTATGTTCAACTAATTATCAGCCACTATAATTAAGGTTAAGTCTTCGATGCTGCAATTAGAAGACAGGTATTTAAAAAATCTGATACCACGGAATTAAAGTTCATTGTTGTAAGTTCTTTTAAGGGTCAATTCTTCATTTAACTTCTAAAAGAAGTAATTAATTCGTCAATCGATTCAGTAATTTACCCCAGTGCTTCTTTTAAGTCGAGAGTCATGATTAAAAAACTCGCTAAACGCATAGAAATAAACACTACAGCTATACTACTATATATAAACGCACTAATTACTTATGTATGTAAACAAATTAGTAATGACTAGAAATATTGTCTACCGCAATTTGTTAAAAGCAATTATTTCTACAATTTACATTATTTATATTAACGTATTATTTTTTGTGACCAGTCTATGAATGTAAATTGGAAACAAGTTTATTCATAAAGTTTAATTGAGCAGATTGTTGTCATCTCGTTAACATCCGCTTACAAATTCGCTACCGCTTGGTTATTCGTTATTTTGAACCTACCTCCGGCAATTCAATATGGAGGAAATATGATGTGAAGTATTGGCTACAAAATGTGCGTACGATGCATCATTGGTAAAATAATATGACATTCATTTCTTACACTTATTTATTACAATTTCATGATAAAATAATATAGCCACAACGGTAGTAAAATATGTATATGGATAACAAAAAGAATACTTACAAGAATAAGTTACTATTATTAATTATCGCTATCATTATTTTGTACGAAAGTCTTTAAATACACGTGCCTATATTTTGTTTTTTTGCAACTGAGTATATCAACGTAACAAAAAGGTATATATCAAAATGGCACTATGGAAAATTACATCCATATTACACCGTAATAATGGGATATCAGTTGTTCATCTGTCCCCACTTTTCCGGGTCGTAGTGAAAGCGTAGAAAATGCGAGGGGTGGTTCTAGAGTGGAGACTAAAGTGCGATATTGTGGCCAAAACGTCGGAATGAATCCGGTAAAGGAACGATAAATTAAGCAGCATCACATCGCATTTGTGGTTTTGATACTTGTAATGAGATTTTTGGTGTAGGTAAAAATAAGTAAATACTTCCTTGTAATGTTATATTACATTTTCTTAAAAAGAATGGTTTCTCTAATACTTTATAACCTTATAAATATACATACTTGAGTTTAGTATAGTGAGATAGATAAAATGTATTTTTTTTTAAATAATGAAGAAATATGTCAGTAATGTATAATTTAATTAATTATACTATAATATTAGTTAGAAACTAATAGTAATATTACTTATACCTAAAATATTTTTTGTAATTTTATTTAATTTCGTTTTTCTCGGGGAGATGTATAGGATGTATATGATGTAATAGTTTTAAAATATAAACGTGTTGGCAATTAGCTGTAAGTTTATATTGTGTTAATTAAATAAATAAAAAAAAACGTATGTAATTTGTAATAATATTTATAAATAAATTATTGATTAACACAATACAGAGTCAGTATTAACTCAAACGTCGTTATTATTATTTGCTTGTCGAGTACCATCCTTGTAAATCAAATACAAAATTAAATATTATTGTTATTTTAACAATTAAAAGGCACTTTATACTATTTTTCTGCTGCTATAATTAGGCGAATCTATCAACACCCTATTTATAAAAACACTTAATTGATAAGTCATTTAAGCTGCACGTACCTATAATACACTAATCCAAAACCTCGAAACCCTCTTTTACACAACAGTCGGTTTAAGTAACCGTTAACAGTACAACCGTAAAAGTACAAAAACATATCGTATTCATGAAAAAAGTTAGGACACAAATATAAGCGAAAAGTGTACTCTCTATAAGGCCAATATCTAGACAATTTTAGAGCAATAATATACTGGTTAAGAATTACGAAAAATGTTAAAAGTTGTCAAAATTATCACTGTAACAAAGTAGGTACAAAAGTAATTAATTAGACTTTCGTCATTACTACGACTACATCATATCATTATATTCATCATAAAAATAGATTTTTTATAACCATCTACTACACATAGGTCGTGTCTAGGATTATGCAGGAATGGATGAAAATAAAATCTACAAACATTTACATACCTATTAAACTAAATTAATGCCACATTACACAACCAATGTGTACTTTAAATTCAATTTCAAGAACTTTTCAACACAATGGCGGCCCTTGCAGAAAGCCGTCAGCTGGGGACACGTTTAGATTAAATTTTCATTTTCTTTGCAAAAACAGTCCCAATGTTTAACAGCATTTCTAGGGTTACCCCAAGCATTCTGTAAACCAATTTGGAATAGATTTGCATGCAAAATTACTATTTTTCAATACTTTCAAGTAAAACCAGTAAGAAAACGAAGATTTTATTCCTGGATATTTTATATGTATTAGTACAAATAGTGTTTATGTTCCATGTAACGACTTGCCCTATAATATACGTTCATAAGCCAAAAAAATCAAGTGCCTCCTACAACAATTTTATTATTATAAATTATGCAAGTATACTTCATGCTTTACTTTCCTTGAGTCTGAATTTTAATTTTACAAATCCATGTACCATTTGTTATCCACATATATATATTTTAATATTTCAGAATTTTTCGTCGTTTGGTTGTATAGACTTACGGCTAAATGGGCATAAATCAAAAGACACAAAAAGTTAATATTAATATTACCTCAATAGTAGTCTTGCTCGAAGATTGCCATTTCATAAGATGCTCTCCTTTCAACGACCATCCAGGTGCGTAACTGATTAGGCCTCCGCCCCCGGCACCCTTTATTCCATTAGCGACGTCAGCCGGCTCCGCTTTCGACTTCTTGGGACTTGTTTGTAGCCGGAAAAAGCTGCGACCGTGTATCTTACAACTTTTAGAGGGGGAGAAGAAAAATGAACTCTTCTTAGGCGATTTTTCTTGCTCCTCGCATACTTTAGAACATGATGGAGTCTCCTCAGTAGGGACATCTTCGATTTCTTCAATAGCTGTGCTACTGCTGGGCTTCGGTCCCGAGTTTTCGTCAGCGACAAAGAGAAGTGTTCGTTGTACAAATGGTGTTGCCTTGTTATAAAACTCGTAAGGTTCTGGTACTTTAAAACTAGATGGTATTGTTGTTCGATGTGACTTCGAGAAACGTCGCTCCATATATTTTCTAGCCATTAATACCGTTGTCTATTATTATTTATTTCATTTAAATAACACTAATGTAGAAAATAATTATTATTTATTAAACAGGTACATATTGAAACAAAAGGATATTTTTTAATATTTGTACAATTATTGCACTACTGAAATTCAATAGCGATTCCTTACAATCAAAGGCAGAAAGTAACCAAAAGAACCTAAATAAACGGGGCAGAATAAATCCATAGCGACCCCTCTTATAAGATAGGCGGGTGGAAGCGTAAACTATACCCCTCCTGCAAGGTGACTGCTGAAATTTCAATATTGTCGACTATGAAACTGGAAAACATATTTATTTCTAAATATAATAATATTATATTATTTTTTAAATAAATAAATTATAAAAGTGGTTTAATGTATATTACGCGTCAAATTAATTAGTTATAATAACATTTGCTTTTTCTAGACAATGTAAAAACCACCTTAAATATTCTGCATGCATGATACAATGATCTATCTCACTATGATTCCCTTGAATAGCAATAAATGTATATACTCAAATAAATAATTAACTACAGATAGTACAATAAATCACTTTTAAAATATTTAAAACACTATTAAATAATAGTGCTCCAATTAAATACATTAAACTCACATTTTCTTTTCCATTTATTCTATTAAACTGAAAATCTTAAGCGACGAGTTGCAATTTTCACGCCGAACCTTCGCGATCGATCGCTGCGTACGTAAACATTGCCGCCCCAACGTTGCGTATACAAATAACCATATTCGCGATGCACCTTATAGCACTAGCAATAAGGTCAATATTTCCTTAAGTTACAAGCTTGTATAATTTGTCTTATGCAGAAACTTCCATGATCAGGCTTTTGAAGAAATGTTCAGTGGTTGTGTTACGAGGCAATGCGAATTATTATGACGAGTATTTTAACCGCTAGTTTGGAAGTTTAACCTAATTCCGTCGTCCGTCTGTGTAACTTCCGTGGTATTACTACCACGGAAGTTACAAAGTTTAATTAAGTTCATTTTTAATAATTTCAGACTTGAGGAAAATATTTAGTCATTTGGATTTTGTTTAAAACCTGTTTTGTACATAAATATTTAAAGACATTATAAAAAACAATTGAAATATATTCACATAAGTCAACAGACAACAGTCTTTGATTTCATACATAATAATGTATAATATATAAAAGAACCGGCAAATACAAACATTTAGTGGTCCTTCGAACCTTTTTAAAGCCAATACATGGCAAAATATATATTCAACAGAGTTACAAAGTCCTAAATAGATGCATTTTAGAAGAAAATATACAGACACAATTATAATACTACTCCATGTGTTTGGTGGGTAGAGTCATTAAGACAGAATTCAATAAGGCACCTTTCATAGACCTATAAAAAATGCTTGTTAATTTCATTATTTCCTGTACATTTTATTCATAAATTAGTTAATATTCATATTCACATCTTCTAAGGTGGAGTATGTTTAAAACCTGTTTTGTACATAAATATTTAAAGACATTATAAAAAACAATTGAAATATATTCACATAAGTCAACAGACAACAGTCTTTGATTTCATACATAATAATGTATAATATATAAAAGAACCGGCAAATACAAACAGATTTAGAAATTAATAACAATATAATGGATAGACAAAAGTAGAATTAAGGAATTTAGTAATAAATACAATAACTATTTATTCTGCAAAAAAGGGCAAAAGGGCAAAAGGGCTAATGCCGTCCAAAATTGTATGAGGTAAGGCTTATCGCACAGAGTAACTCCTAGGAAGTAAAAATGCATCATTTCCAAAAACATTACAATATAGAATTTATAATAAAATTAGATAAAAATACAAACTTTTTATAGTTAATATCAGCGCTAAAAGAACATTTTGAATACCTACAAAAAGTTAAAACAAAACCACAAATTAGGTTTAAGATTGAGCATCGAAAATTTATCACAACAAATTCCTATTAATGTAACAATAACAGAAAGGAAATTTGAGTTGGATAAACATCTGAATAGTTTGTAGTTTAGAAATAAATGAAAACAACAACTAACAGCTTTAAATTCTTTCGACTTTGGCCGGAATGATTAATTTCCTGCTATATTTACTGCGGCATTACTTCCGAAACAAAGGGAACACGTGAAATAATACAGCCAAGTATAAAACGTAACCCTCTCCATTTGGCACGCACGACACTCCACCATCCACAACAATCAAGTTGATATACTGGGGATAAATTGAAAGGCAAATTGTACCTTTGTATAGAACATGTAAACTGGAATACGACTTTATATACAAGATGTTATAATGTATATTGATTACTAATATATTACAGATGAGTAAAAATACACATAAGTTATAAAAATTAATATAAGTTTTAATAACAATTGAATAATTTAGGTTTTCTGTTTATTTATTAATAAAAACTTTATACATACTCGAACTTTATACACCAAATTTAACTAAAATTGAATACATCATTTCAAAATTTCAACTAAAAACCTCGCAGATAGTGGAAGTTATCAAAATATACCAAAATCTAACAAAGGATAGATGCTGAGAGAAAGAGAAATAGCTTGTGAAAATTAAATTTAATCCTGGAAAGTCCTGGATTCCAAGTATGTTTACCTCGTGATTTCATGAAATCTGTTTTAGCACATTTAATATAAAAATATTACCTGGATAACGCTGTAATATGAGTGATACCATCAGCTTAACAGTTTAGCTTTGAAAAAGCATCTAATATTTAGTTGTAGCTGGATGTGAAAGTTAAAATAACAATTTCATTGCCACCAGTGACTCACATCATAATTCCAATTATCCGAAATACTTCCTATTGGATTCACACGGTGATCAGAAAATCAACACCTTATAGTATAAACATTCATAAAACTTGTGATATTACTATAATCATGGAGTCAATACAGCATAACGAAATATGTGCTTCATTTTTATATAACAATTAATGAATATTCTATAACAACAAGAAATGAACCGATATTACTGCGAAAGTCGATTTTCTTTCTTTTCCTAGGCAACTAGTTCCCTTTCCTTGTATTTCGCTTCGAGTCTTTGATATACTCTGTATTGATTCGAAGGGGGAATTATTACATTTCGATGACATGACGAATTCAAGATGACAAACGAGGGGTTGGAACACTTGACCCGCAAAAATATAGACAGATTATTGTTTCCGAGTCCTTTAAATAATATTTTATTTAAAAGACTTGAAAAGAAACCTATAATTTTTAATAACAAATTTCATGTACTTCGCCGATATAGCCAGGTACTAGAATTATGATATTTCCATAAATATTCTATAACAGTAGGTACTTGTCAATTTTTAATGATAATAACTATTTTTTATTCGTCGTATCGTCAAAATTACTTCTACTAATATCATAATTATACAAAAATACCTACTACATTTAAACATCAATGTATTGTATTGTTTAGATAATGATCTTTTAAAAAAATCAAGACACACCACACCTACAGTCTCAGGTCTGTTCCAGTTCAACGAACTATTTAACAGCATTTTGTAGATGTCACCAGAATATATACAAAAGATCAGCCACACTATGAAACAAATATAGACTACACCCCTAACGCCTCGCGCGAACTTGACAATATACCCACATGTTTATTTTTATCTTATTGTTCAGAAATACCCAGGAAATCGTAGAAACACTCTTTGATGCTACGGGATATGTAAACTAGAAATGTGTGTAATGTATTCCAGCAACATCCTCACAGAACATTCCAAATTTGTTGCCGACTACACTGATCGATACGGTAAAGTTATTCTGAAAACATCAAACATTCTACAATATAATTAAGGACACTAAACTCTAAACCTATTGAGTTAATTAATAAAAATCCAATTATAATTATTTTTGCCTATCTGATAAATTATAATAATCAAAATTTATCATTACTATAGAATACAAATAAAATCCGGAATTCCAATTTTGTAATAAAAAAGGTTATTTTTAGCATAGATACCAAAATTGAATCTAACTATATATAACTCGAAGGTGACTGACATAGTGATCTATCAACACACAGCCACTGGACGAATCGGGCTGAAATTTGGCATGCAGGTAGATGTTATGACGTAGGCATCCGCTAAGAAAGGATTTTGATTAATTTTATCTCCAAGGGGATAAAATAGGGGATGAAAGTTTGTATGAAGCTTTGTCAATTTTAAACCGATCGGGCTGAGATATTTGATGCATAAAGCTACTATTACGTAAGCATCCCTATAGAAGGGACTTTGATAAAATCCACCCCTAAGGAGATAAATTAACGCGAGCGAAGCCGCGGGCAAAAGCTAGTTTATACTGCTAGTTCTAGTATAACTAGAACAATGAACCTAAAAAATAAAATATAATAACTAAAATATCTTATTGTTTTACGCAAGGTTCCGAAATTACAGGCAACGTTTTAGGTTAGGTTTTAACCTTTAGGTTTAGGTAGCTGCCGGCTTTTCGTGCTTCTGTGATGTCGACAACCTTTTTGCTATTTCCTTATAAAGCCTTCGTAACTTTGTCTTATTTAAAATAAGGCAGAAATATGAGAACAATGGTATTACTTGAAGAAATATACTTTATCCAATGATTACTACTACCCTATCCACTAAACTAACCTTTACTTTAGGATTCCTTATATTCTATTCAGTATACCATTTCTCTAGTTTTGCATAAGACTGATTCTATATAAACCTCATCACTCAATTTTACCACATATACATGTAAATATTTTACATTCTTTTCTAACCATACTATCTCAACAATTCAGACCACAACTTCAATTGAAAATAAAAAAAATCATCTGTTGCTATTTCTATAGATTACTATCTGTTAATGCTATTTCATTATCTAGGTATGTATGTATACTACACAATTATTCATAATCTAAATAACAATACAAACCCTTCGCGATCAAATAACTAGTTGCATAAAATCTCCCTAACCCATGCGACACCCGCTTAATTAAGCCGT